CCTACAAGCGCGAGCAGAGGAGGTATACTCCTCTTTAGTAATCTCTCCCCGTTTCCACTTTTTAGATGCCCCCCTTTTAGCCCGTAGACTGCTCTGGATTTCTCTGGTCAGTCAAGGAAGCCTCTTGGCCCCTTTCCCCCTTTTTCCCCGCATCGGGATTGTCTCCCTCTGTGCCCGAAGGATCATTTCCTTAAGGCACAGCCACCCTTCCTGGGCTCCCAACTCTTTAAAACTCTTACTCTGCAGTGCGTCCTTGACTAAACGCCTGAGTTCATTGAAATCAGCTTTCCTAAAGTCTAGCACTTTCACCCTACTAGTTACCTTACCCACTCAACGTCTTATGGTGAATTCTATTATTTGGTGATCACTGTCCCCCAGGTTCTGTAGGTCTCCTACCATGTCATCCCTCATTGCCAATACCAGGTCCAGTAAGGCATTCCCCCTAGTGGGACCATGTACCTCCTGCGTCAGATGGATTATTGTACTTGTGTTAAACAGCAGGTCATCCTAGATGATTACAATGGTCATTTTTGGTCTTGTCTTTTAAAATATGTTTGTCTCTAAATGAACTGGCAGGAGTTTGGTATCTTTGTTTGTGCTAGGTACAGTACAGTACTGGGTCTTTGTGGTGCTATTACAGTACTGTTGTTTGTACTAAATAACATTTGCTGTAACTACTGTCCTTGGCTATTCCTTCTGCTCTCCTGTCTACTGCTTTTATTACTCACTCTGGCCTCTCCATGTTTTGATTAAACTCCCTGAGATAGGGAATACTTGTATGAAGTTGCCTGTATGCTTTTGAGTGCTATGAAAGAAGTTTAGTCAAGTAATCCCAAAGAAGTAAGCTAACAGCCCTGAACTAGAGTTATTATTTTCCTACATGTGAAGTAGTCCTTATTTTCAAAGGTAAGTTGTTGTTTTGTTTATGCAGTAGTCTACTTTCATACAGTCCTAGTATTGCATGGTGCATACCTTCATAGCAGAATTGAATTTTAGGAGCTCTGATTATCAAACCTATTGCTTGTAGTTCAGTCCCATCTAGGAAGTATAGATAGAATCTTTGAGAAACCCATCTTTTTGGAAACTGAATGTGCTGGAGCAGGGATGGCCAGCCTGTGGCATGTAGCAGATCAAAGAGGGGGCAGGGAGCACACCTCTATGTAAGGCAGGGAACCAGAAAGCAGAGCCGCAGGTCGGGTATCCAGGTTATAGCTGTATTGGTCTAGAGGAAAAAGCAATCGGGGCTTTTAGTAGAGAGATCTTTTATTAGACCGAGAAGATTTTTGCAAAAAAATCTTTTTAATTGCAAGCTTACGAACTGCCTGCCCAGAGGAGTTTTCCATCTATTGACTGCTCTGTGAAATCCTATGAAATATGAACTTTCATTTCCACTCAGGAGAACTTTCACAATCTTTTCTCTGATGCCTGGTGAAGGGTGTGCCTAAAAGCTTGCAATTAATTTTTTTTTTTTTTTTTTTTTTTTTTTTGCAAAAATCTTGTTGGTCTAAAAAAAGATATCTCTACTAGGATCCCTGAGCACCGGTCCAGAAGCAGAAAATGTATCATTAGGTTAGGCAGAGCAGGGGATTGGAGTGACACTCAGAGAGGGTGTGAGGCTTGTTAGTGCTGCATCTGCCAAAAAGGTTGGCCCTCACTGTACTGGAGGCTGGTAGTATATAGTAAGAGCAGAAGTGTTGCAGTTTGTGTGACAGTATTATTGTCCTAAGGATCTCATGGTTTCCCTGAGGCGTGTTACGGCCCTGAGGATTTGGATTCGTGTGTGAAAGATAATAGAGCAGAAGTGACTTGGTACTCAGAAGGAGCATGTTTCTATTACAAACTCTGTGCAGTGTTGGTGCTGGTTATGCCAATTCCATGATACCTTGCTTCTGCTTTCCCATTCATCCTGGTTTGGGTTCAAATTACCCTGGGGGTTTCCTGTCAAATGGGAAAAGGAGGCTGCTGTTCATTTTTGCATGAGATGCAGGATGTAGGACTACTGCAGATGTCAAAAGATACAAAACATGTTTCCAATGATAACTCAGTGTTAAGTCATCTGCATGGCTATATGTGGAGTCTAGGTTTACTTACTGTTTGGTCAGACTTGTGAGATGCTTAGCTGCATAATCCAAGGCTACATATTGGGGATAGAGGACTGATCAGAAGTGTCTCTGGTCAGTGCCTTGAAAGAAATGGTGTTAATGATTTAAGAATCCTTCCACACGTCTGATTAATCTTTAATTAGTTCTGAGACTCTCAAATTCCTGGCTCCAAGTTACTGAAGAGGTCTTGGATAAAGCCCTGTTCCTCGAGAGCAGAAAGAACAAAACATGCTCCTCTGTCTGTTTAATTAATCCTTTTATAGGTTTGATAGACAAGTCTGTTGCAAACATGATTTTGTCCCAGGTAGTCAAATAATGCCCCTAACAATCCAGAGCTGTGCAGCAGCTTGGCTACCTATGCTGTCTTTCATCTGGGATCCTTTGTTCTGCTCCTGAGGTTCCCATCTTCTTAACCATGTAGTTATTACTTTTATAAGGCTTTCCTGCTG